ATACCTTATTAGTGGTCTTTCAAACGATTGAGAGACTTACAGTATAAAGGAGAATATTTGTAGCTCCGGGTTGAAAAGAGAAGTTCGTGGTGCTCTCTGAGCTTGGTTGTTTTCTTGCAAACATGTCATTCAGACTTATGATGTTACCTACTTTGGGCAATGAAATGTCTTCAAGAAAACAACCGAGCCTAGAGAGTACCAAGGAGCCCCCTATTCAAAACAGGGAGACCTTTTCTATAAGAAGCAAGGATCACATTGGATTTAAACTGAGAAAGGGATATATTGTTGATTCTGCCCAAATGAATACACTGAAGTTTTTCTGCTGCTCTAGCCGATAAGGGATTTTGCATGAAAGCGTAATTTTGCTTTCTTGAACATCATGCCGCACATTCCACTTCCAGGTGCTACCTTCTGTGCAGTTCACTATCTGCCCTGGGATTTCCTTGAAGCACTCACTGATTCTGGATACTTGGGAGTTGGGCTGAGATTGATTGGAGTTCTGATAAGGGAAGAATCCATTTCCCCCTTTCTAGCTCCAAAGAAAAACAGTAAAACTGTCTGCCAGTCTACTTGAAGTCTCATAGAGTAGACAGGTTTATGGCCCCTCCTGCCATTTGAGCTTTCCAAAGAATGACAGGCTGGTGTTGAAAAACAACATGAGGTGTCACTCAGACGATTTGAAAAATGGTTAAATCCTTAATCCCAAGCACTCACCCATATTTGTCCAACCTGCCATGTTATACTTAAGCAGAACAGTTTCCTATTTCTCTGCAGTTTCCCATGAGCAAGCGAGATCCACTAAACACTGCCCTTAATTGTCCTAGAGTAAAGCTGTAAGTGACCATCAGTTTGGTATAGTGGTAAGGCACCAGGCTAGAAACTGGGACTCTGTGAGTTTTAGACAGTCTCCCAGTTTTTAGCCTGGTGCCTTGATCACTACATCAAACTGGCTAACACATACAGCTTTACTGAGTTTTAAAAATTGGAGCCAGCTGGGTGACTTTAGGCCAGTCACTCTCTCTCAGCGCTAAGGACGAGGCAATGGCAAACCAGTTCTGAAATCTTACCAAGAAAACTTCAGAGACTTCAATATTGCCAGGAGCCAACACTGACTTAAAGGCATAAAAGATAGATAGATAGATAGATAGATAGATAGATAGATAGATAGATAGGTAGGTAGGTAGGTAGGTAGGTAGATAGATAGATAGATAGATAGATAGATAGATAGATAGATAGATAGATAGATAGATAGATAATAATGTTGTGTCTATAGAACTGGCTGGAGTTCCCAACCAGGTCCGCAGTTCGAGCGGGAGCGCCGACCGCTCCCATTGGCTGATGCCGTTTGACAGCCGGCTATAAAAGGAGCTGTCAAATGGCATCAGCTGTTGCCGCCAGCTGGCTGCCAGCCCAGCCTTGGCAGCAGCGGCAACCCATTATGCTTCGAATAAAGCAACGTTAGCCTTCAGTTCCGTGTCTGCCTCGTGTGTCCGCCAGCTACACAACACTGGCGACGAAGGTGGGATGCAATAAGAGGCTACCAGACGTCCGATCGCTGAGCTGGTCACTCAAAAGAGCGAAGCCACCAAGCGCTGAAGTCACAGCCACTGACGCTCGCCAAGAGCGCGAAATTTAAAGCCTCCTCAGCTGAGGAGACAGACGCCCCCTGCCAGGCACTGCCGCTGGCGCTACCGAGAGCACGAAGTTCAAAGCCTCCCTCCCTGAGGAGACAGACTCCATCCGCCAGGCACTGCCGCTGGCGCTACCGAGAACGCGAAGTTCAAAGCCTCCCTCGCTGAGGAGACGGACACTGCCCACAGGCACTACTGCTGCCATTTCCGAAAGCCGAGACGAGCCAGTCTACCCACCGAGAGCCACTCTATCTGCCGAATGCCGAGACGAGCCGGTCTATCCTCCAAGAGCCGATCTATCCGCCGAAGGCCGAGATGAGCCGGTCTACTTCCCCGAGAGCCAATCTATCTGCCGAAGGCTGAGACGAGCCAGTCTATCCCCCCGAGAGCCTATATCTGCCGAAGGACGAGACAAGCTGGTCTACCCCCCCGGAGAGCCGATCTATTCGCCGAAGGCCGAGACGAGCCGGTCTATCCCCCCGAGAGCAGATCTATCCGCCGAAGGCCGAGACGACCTGGCCTACCCAGCCATCGACAACGATCCCCAGCCAAGTGGCCCAGTCTACCTGTCAAACCCAGAGATGCCGATCTACCGAGCAAACACCGAGGACCCAGCCTATACGACAAATGCCAAAGGTCCCGGTCTACTCAGCCAACGCCTAGAACCCAGTCTACCAAAGAAACGCTTGTACTCCCGACCAAACGACCTGGTCTACCACTCCAGCCATACGACACACCCAAAGCGAACCGAATGGAAAAAACCTCCCTGGACCACCGCAGGCTCCTGCTGATCGGACTTGCACCCCTGCAGCTGCCTGGATGATCCCGGGGGCAAAGGACTCTACCCCAGCCAGGGATTCCCCGGGATTAAGGCCTATTTGCAGGTCTGCGCATGCCCCTAGCCAGGGGGAAGGGGTGTTGTGTTCCCTGACTAACTACAATCCCCAATCTGGTCTGCATTCCTGGCGGGAGCACCAATCACTCCCATAGATAGATGGTAGTGTTGTGTCTATAGAACTGGCTGGAGTTCCCAACCAGGTCCGCAGTTCGAGCGGGAGCGCCGACCGCTCCCATTGGCTGATGCCGTTTGACAGCCGGCTATAAAAGGAGCTGTCAAATGGCATCAGCTGTTGCCGCCAGCTGGCTTCCAGCCCAGCCTCGGCAGCAGCGGCAACCCGTTATGCTTCGAATAAAGCAACATTAGCCTTCAGTTCCGTGTCTGCCTCGTGTGTCCGCCAGCTACACAACACTGGCGACGAAGGTGGGATGCAATAAGAGGCTACCAGATGTCTGATCGCTGGTCACTCAAAAGAGCAAAGCCACCAAGCGCTGAAGTCACAGCCACCGACGCTCATCAAGAGCGTGAAATTTAAAGCCTCCTCAGCTGAGGAGACAGACGCCCCCCACCAGGCACTGCTGCTGGTGCTACCGAGAGCACGAAGTTCAAAGCCTCCCTCGCTGAGGAGACGGACACTGCCCACAGGCACTACTGCCGCCATTTCCGAAAGCCGAGATGAGCCGGTCTACCCCCCGAGAGCCGATCTATGCGCCAAAGGCCGAGACGAGCCGGTCTACTTCCCCGAGAGCCAATCTATGCGCCGAAGGCTGAGATGAGCCGGTCTACCCCGCCGCCCCGAGAGCTTATCTATCCGCCGAAGGACGAGACGAGCCGGTCTACCGCCCCAGCTGAACGACACGCCAGAAACAAACCGAACAAGGAAGCCTACCAGATCCACCGCAGGGCCTCGCAGACCGAACCCGCTCTCCTGCAGTCCCCGAGACACTCCCAGGAGCTGAGGACTTCGCTCCAGCCAGAGACTTCCCTGAACTCAGGCGGTCCTACCGCCATCATAGACGACCAGCCTATTTGCGGGATACGCATGCTCCTGGCCGGGGGAAAGGAGTGTTGTGTCTATAGAACTGGCTGGAGTTCCCAACCAGGTCCTCAGTTCGAGCGGGAGCGCCGACTGCTCCCATTGGCTGATGCCGTTTGACAGCCGGCTATAAAAGGAGCTGTCAAACAGCATCAGCTGTTGCCGCCAGCTGGCTGCCAGCCCAGCCTCGGCAGCAGCGGCAACCCGTTATGCTTCGAATAAAGCAATGTTAGCCTTCAGTTCCATGTCTGCCTCGTGTGTCCGCCAGCTACACAACAGATAGATAGATAGATAGATGATAAATGATAGACAGATGATGGATATAGATAGATGATAGATAGATGTGTGAGAGGGAGGAAACGAGGGAGAGAGAGAGAGAGATTCCCTAATGGGAATGTTGCTTCCTTATCCACACTGTTTCCAATTTTTATATTGCTAGTTATAAGAATTTTACCATGTTTAAACATGTGCTAAATTTCTGTATTTGTTAGAAACATTGCCACATTATACCGATTGCTACATTGAAATATTGCTGCATTAAACATTACTATACATTACACTCTATAAATTTATGTTTTAGAAAATCTGTTGTCTTTCAATCCTTAGACTGGAGAGTCTAAATTACCGGCTTTAAGTGAGAAGCAACTGCACTTCTAGTTAAATGATGCTACGTTATAGAGCTCCATAAGGAAAAATTCAAACTGCATTCAAATTAGTAAAGACCAAATCTAGTAATGCTAGAAATGAAAATTAATGAAGATTCAACAAGGATTTATAGACTGCCATACTATGTTAAACTCTTCTTCACCTTGGTGTTATCCAGATGAACTATTTACACCTACCAGAATTTCATCTGTTACAATGAGGAAAGGATATCTTTTTGACTGTCTATATTTTTGGGCCAAAAATCACCATGAGACAAACCTGCAAGTCTTTTATTTCATAAAATTAACTCATAATAAGGACATGCCTAAAAATAAACCCCAAGAGAGACAAACCTGTTCTTCCATTCTCAACTACTGTACATAAATGCAAAGTTTATGGTCTCACAAACAAGACAAAGATACCAGAATGGCAACGGGAATTTTAGTAATTTGCATTGCACTAATACATCATAGCTGAAAGCTAGTAGCGAGAAAAGTTCTGCGTACATAAGGAAGGGATTAATTCTTTTATACTTGTCAGAGACAATAAATTTATTTTGATTTTTTATTAATTTATAACATAAACTAAAAAATACCACAGTAGGAAAATAGGAGAAGGAGAAAGGAAGGGAAAAGTATAGAGGAAAGGGAGAGAAGGAAGAAAACCTTCTGGTGCAGCAGAATAAGATAACAGCAACAAACCACAACTTTTTACTTTTACATAATAGTGTGAAGTAGCCATTTCTATAACAACAAACCTATTCTAATCGATAGAAACCCAAATTAAAGTTTCATGTTTTTTCCACATCGTCCAGAAATGGCTTCCAAACAGAAACAAAAGTAATTGTGATTTTTTTTCTTTAATCAAAGCAGTCAATTTTGCCATCTCTGCCATCAGCTTTTTCATCCACTATGAGAATCAAAGTGTCCTTCCGTTTTCTGCATAAAGATGACCTTATGCAGAGAAGGTAAATTTCGAATGATCTCTATTTAAATTTATTCCAAAGCTAATTCGAGGTACCATTCACAGTTTTATGGTTTTTGAAGCTTAGATCAAAACTTCGGTGAAGTTGAAGAGATATGAAGATAGGTTTACATGATGGATTTATATATTTTTGGCTTTCCACATGACTAAAGGGGATAGGCTCCAATTTCTTCAGTCACAGTATGTATCTATTTCAGATCTTGCACACGATGGGCTACAATTCATAAAGCATCAATTTCATAATTTATAAAAAAGGTATTTTCCATCTAGTGAGGTCCTTTCTCCAGAAGCAGTCTTTCTGTCAGCATCTTTCTGGATCCCCATTATCGCTTTCCTTCTGGCACGAAATCCTACGGAGAAAAACAAAAGCAATATAAGTTACAGAAAACAGAATTCCATAGAAATCTAGATTTTTTTTAAAAAAATGCAACTACGAGTTTGTTCTCTCAGTGACAAGACACTTAATATTTGCAAGTGAAAGAAAAATATTTATGTACTTATTTATTTATTACATTTTTATGCTGCCCATCTTCCCTATAAGGTGATTCTTGAGCATATGCATGCTTCATTTCAGCCGAAAAGTACCAATCTCATCAATGCAGGTTTCAAACAAAACAAAAAAATTCCATTTGGATATTTAACTGCCATCAGCCCCTGACTATAAACAAACTGGCAAATGAAAGTGAAGAAGCAGAGTGCTAAAAGGAACTTGTCTAATCCTGAATGTTTATAAAGTAAAATGATTAATTAGCAACGGAATGGTCAGGAAGAGAATTCCTCATTCTTTTCCTTAGTCATGGATTCCTCTGAAGCTAATTTCCCTCAGATTTAATGCCAGATCTGAACATAAGCTTTACTCTCTTTGGTAATTCCTTTGATTAAGGTATTGTTTTCTGCTTGCTTGTCTCATATTAATCCCTGCTTATCTGGGTATTGGCTGATGGGAGGGGGTCTTTATGTTTCCTTCTTAACTTTTTTATTTTCTCTTTTGATTAGTGTGTAGACATGATTTATTGCTATGTATATCTATTGATGGGTGGTTTGTCTGAATGTCAGTCTTCTAGGAATTTTTGGGATTTGGCTTGGTCTAGGATGCTATGAATTTTATTCTTCCAAAAAGATCCATACTTTTTTGATATATGTAGGGGAGTGCTGTAGGGTCTTAGCAATGAGTCCTGGTATATATTTTCTTCTATTGGGTTCAGAACTCAACTAAAGGAAAATAAAACTCAATGCCACAGTCTATCAGCATGGAAAATGAGTATGCCAATCATGGAATTCTAAAAGGGGATCTAATGTCACTGGCTGATATTTGTAACTGTTTAGTCACAACTCCTTGCCCTTCTAAAAATGCTTTAGGGGAAAAAATGTCTTGAATAGATGCATACTGCTTCTTGTCTGCTAAGTTAAAAATGCCTCCCACCTCAATTTGAAAGCCCAGTAATATATTTGTGTAAAATGTACTTCTAAATTCTTGGGTGGAAGTGTGCAAATTGATCCCTTTGCTCCATGTCAAACTTCTTGCAGAAACCAAAGGATATTTGAAGCATGCCGACGTCTGCCTAAAACTTGAATCAGATCAGCTAATATTTAAAATGGGTTTTAAAGTTTTGACGTGACAGTAAGTCATCTCGTTTATCAGTTGAAAGAAAAGAAAGTGAGGGTGACGTTAATCTCAGATGAAACTGGATTAAAGCAACACAGAACCAAATTCAGGAACTTTCAGCCAGAAATCAAGTAAAGATGGAAACTAGAGCCAAAGAAAGTAGAAAACCAAGAGGGAGGATTGTGTCTAAATAGCCTCCAGGGCAACGCTGGCTGTGTCGTTCCCCTAGAAACATTTGATCAAGGAAAAAAGCGAAGCTTTGGTCCAAGATGCCAACACCAAATGACTGGACAAAACCATGTGGCTCCAGCTGGCACTTCCGTTCTGTTGCTTGGCAACTACATATGCATGACCAAAGATGATCAACAGAAGGCCAGAAGGAAGAGAGGCTACTCAGCCCCTGCACTCAGACAAACAAAACCTGGGAGAGAAAGCTGCTTTAGGAAAGGGGATAGTGGAAAAGGAAATTAGATTGGACAAATTACCCTCGCACACACCGTTTGTAGGCTAAACAAGTGGGCTCTGTTGCCTCTTGAGTGGCTCACAAGTAGTACATTCTAGTATCTGGACAATGTTTGACTAGCATGAGGCCTTGGTCCAAAAATTAACCCTTTGTTCCTTATAACATTGTGTATAAACTATTTGGCCTCATGCAAATAAGGAGATGCCAACTTTTGGCTTATAGCAGGACATGGGGACTGCTAGAAAGAAAAAGAATGTTATAATCCACCATTTTTATTAGTTTAAAAAAGCTACCTGAGAAAGAGTATGATCCTCAGTTTTGTGGAAGAAGTTGCTATATCCTTTCTATACCGTAAACAACAAATCTTATGAAGCATTAAAGACTAGTGTACCACCTGTCAAAAGATAATTCAAATACCTATCCTAAAGGATAGCACAAAGCAAATGAGAACAGACCACATTATGCTTATCATCCAAACTGTCCCAGTATTACTCTTGTTGGCAAATTTTAAAAATGGACACTGATCTGTGGCCCAGAATATCACATAATAAGACATTAATTTACTTGTGGTTTTGGATATCACACAATACAGATAGTCCTCGACTTAACATTTGTTTAGTGACCGTTCAGTTACAATGGCACTGAAAAATGCAACCTATGACTGGTCATAGCATCCCCATGGTCATGTGATTAAAATTCAGACACTTGGCAACAGGCGTGTATTTAAGATAGTTGCACTTTCGACGACCATGTAACCCCCATTTCTAACTTTCCCAGCTGGCTTCCAGCAAGCACAGCCAACGGGGGAATCCGGATTCACTGAAGAATGGCATGAGTCACTTATCAATTGCAGTGATTTGCTTAACAACGGTGGAGAAAAGGTTGTAACATGGGGCAAAACTCACTTAGCAACTGTCTTGATTAGCAATGGAAATTTTTGATCCAAAATACCTGTAAACTACTAACCTGATAAGGGCTGATACTGCAATAAATGCAAGCTCAAATCCTCACTGACCACAAAGATTCTGGTTGACTTGGACCACTCACTACCTGTCAGTCCAATTTACTACAAGAAAGTGTGGTGAGAGAAAATGGGGAAATAACAGCAATAAACAAACAAACAAAGCCCCTGCATCTGCTACTGATACCCTACTCTGCTCCTTTCATGAAACACTTCATTACATGCCTTATCAGCACAAGCTGCAGCAAAGGCCATGAGCTAGACTGTCATGATAATGATCGATAAGACAAACTCATGGAGAAAAACCCTGAATGAACCATTTACCATTATGACAATTCAGCTGCGATCAGAGTCCATAAAATCAAGATATCTAAGATTGTGCATGGAAAACAGTTGCTCTGTTATCTGATCCCCCAGACGGGTTGCTTCTTTCTTTCAACTGAAGGAGTGTTACCATAAAAGATCAATGCTATTTCTTGAAATGCCTCACCTAGATCTAATCTCGAGAGCCCGACAGACTTCCTGAGGGTAAACAGGTATGGCAATCATCTTGCCAAAGAATTGGTTTCCCCCTTTCAGAGGAAAGCAGGTGATGTAATGAGCTATCATCTCAAATTGGGTTCCAACTGATCAGAAGACAGGAACCAGAGAGGGTTCTCAGACTCTCTCAGACTCTCCTAGAATTCAGGAACACAAAAATACATCATAAGATTTTATATTTGCTGCAGATATATTAATGCTTAGTCATGCATTTTTTATCCTTAATCCTGACATTTAACTTGCTTCATTTCTATACAGAGACAAATTTACTGACAACATCAGAATTTCGCATCTCAGCTTCAGAAGTCAATTTTCACAACCAAGAGTTTTCTGGCTTTAGCCATTATGGTTGTTATTTTTTATCTCACATTTTTGATATATTTGGGACAATATAAAGTAGTGAACATATCTAATACCTTTCTTCTAGCTTCCCCAACAACCTTGTGAGGGGAGTTGGATTGAGGGAGAGTGACTAGCACCTTAACCACTGTACCAAACTGGCTCTCCATAATCCATGTAGCCATGATCAAACCATGAGAAGATCCTAACATCCAAAGCAGAAGTGACTACGTATCTCTACTAATACTGTAAATTTTGTTACAGTTTTGATCTACAGCATATCTTCACCCTCAGGTGTTCACAATTCTACCTGTGTAACATTTGTATACCATAATTTGTACGGATGTGCCAGTCTCTATAACAGTTATTTCTTCTTCCCTTTTGCCATGTAGTATTTAGAAACGAAAAATTGTTTCTTGGCACAGTTGCGAATTAACAGCTTGAAAAACACTATTCAAGAACTAAAAGTATGCTTACAGAATAGCTTCGTTCTTCTTGTTGGATATGTGTGTGAATAAGCACAGAGAGATAATTCCATGTATCACTGAATTAACCTGTGTTTTAAAAAAAAATCTACTGTGGTATCTTGGTACTTTGTTCATTGATTCTGGGAGCCTTGATAAGTACCAAAAATGACTAGTACCAAACAAATTTTCCCATAAATAATAAATGAGGGAACCAACACTGACACCAACACAGTTCTAGCTTGCATGTCAAGTACCAAACAAGTGATGAGTACCGGGACAAAATTTTAATGTCAAAATGCGTTGAATACCAAATTCAATGAGTTTCAAAGCAGTCAAGTATCAAGGTATGACTGTATATGTCTTTCTAATGTTCAGCAGAAAAAAAATGTTTTTTGTTTATCCTGCCTTTTTATTTCATGTACAACTCAAGGGGGCGAACATACCTAATACAGGTAGTCCTCAACTTAAGACCACAAATGAACCCAAAATTTCTGTTGTTCAGTGAAATATTTGTTAAGTGAGGTTTGTCCCATTTTACAACCTTTCTTGCTGCAGTTGTTAAGTGATTCACTGCAGTTGATAAGTGAATAACCTGGTTGTAACCTGATTGTGAATCTGGCTTCCTCATTGACTTTTCTTGTTCGAAGGTCGCAAAATGGGATCACGTGACCCCAGGACAGTGCAACCATCGTAAATATGAATCAGCTGCTAAGCATCTGAATTTGATCACATGACCATGGAGGTGTTACCTTGGTGCAAAGGTCGTAACTGTGAAAAATGGTTGTAAGTCACTTTTTTGCAGTGCCATTGTAACTTTGAACAGTCACTAAATGAACTGTTGTGCGTCAAAGACTACCTGTACTCTTTCCTCTTCCTATTTTCCCCTTAACAACCACTAAGTGAGGTTGGGTGGCCTGAGGAACTGGCCCAAAGTCAGACTGGCCCAAAGTCACTCAGCCAGTTTTCACACCCAA